CCGGCCGGGGCTGCACCCCGGCGCAGGTCTCGATGAGCCCGGCCCTTGCAAGCGGGTCACGGAGCCCGGGGCTCCTCCGGCCTTCGCAGGCAGGGCCCCTCCTCAGCACCGCGGCGGGCAGGCGGGCCCTGCCCCTGCGGTCTGATCCAGAGCCGGGGAGGGGGGGGGCGGCGCTCTCGAACGCGGGACACATCCAGCTCTACTGCCAGCCCGTTCTGTGAAGGGCTGGTATTGCATGTGGGGAGGCACCAGCACCCTTGCCCTGGCATCATCTCGCCACCTCCAACCTCAGCCTAGAGAAGGTGAGCAGTCGGGCCGGCTGGGCCCACACAGATGCTCTGCTTTCCCCACAGCACGTGTAGCCCAGCAGACAAGGCAGACATGGCTGCTGCAGCTCTGACAGCAGAGACCTCCGCAAAACTTGCACAGCAGCAGCAAAGCCATTGGTGGAGACCTGGAGGCTCATTTCCCCCTGCATTATTTCAAGATAAAAGTTCACCAGCTTTAACTGTGCTATGTTACTCCATGCAGTAACAAAGCTGGGAACGGTGGGTTTAACAGAGACACGGAACTAATCTGCGTTTCTTGGGAATTCTCTCTGCCCACTTACTTGATTTTGATTAGAGAACTAACACGAAAAAGTTAATTGGGGCCCTCACATTACAGAGGGGGAAAAAGTCTCAGAGTCATACACCAAGTACAGTATTTATTTAAGACATTCAAACATGCAAGTGGAAATACATGCAAGAAAAGCCACTTGGCAGGATGACTGCTGTTAACATTCTACGAAGCACCTTCAAAGTAAAATTGCTTCCCTACTGATTTGCAGTAAGAACCGTATTCAAAGTCATCCGTGTTTGATTAGAATAATAAAAAGGCAACAGGGATTTCATTTCCCTTAGAGGAAAACATCCAGTCTAGTAAAGAATCCTAACTGAGCTGTAATGGCTTTCTCCACTGAGGTAAATTCAGCAAAAATTAGGAAACACTTTACTGAGGAACAGAAGTTCTTTAAATTTTACATAATGATTACAAAAAGCGATAAACGGGTTTGTTCTCATTTGGCTGCGTGCTGTGAGGCCCAGGGCAGGAAATACTTGAGGAAGCATTATGCTTGAAATGAATATAGTTTCACTATAGGCCTACTCTAAATGCTAAAAAAAAAAATTAATTCTTTAATTTTTGAACTATTTGAATACAGATTATTATTGTTCTAATTCTATGTTTGTTATGGCTAGGGGAAAAACAAACAAAAAAAAGTGTTCTCTATTTCACTTGCAGTCAGTTAAGCTTTCTTTATTTGGCAGCAAATGAGAAGTCATGCCTATGACTGTCTCTGAATGGCATCAACAGATCTGAAAGAGTTCCTTTGTTTTAAATCTGAGAGGTCTTTAGAAACTCTGCCTTGCTACTCCATCTGCCCAGAGGCAAATGAGCATTATTTCTATTTTATAGGTAGAAAAAACCAAAATAAAGTGTTAACATTGCTAAGGCCACAGAAGGTATCACCATCAGAGCACTGGTAGGTACTAACCCTCCTGCCCTTTGTACTCAGATGGCCAGATAATTAATAAGAGACTGAAACAAAATAAAACCGTTGTTAGAGATAGGGTTCCAGTTCTGCTCAACGGTTTATCAGCACTCAGTAAATTCCCTGCCAGAGAGTAACAAAGAGACATGGCAAGTGGGAAAACAGAGGCACAGGAAAGGCAAGTGACTTGCCCAGTGTTACCAGTGGGTCAGCAGTAGAACAGGAGACAGGACCAGTTCTCCCAGGTACCAACCCAGGCAGCAGTCAAAAACGTGACATTAAAATGGAAGGGGCCCTCTGACGGGTCACTGCTCTAATTTTGTGACCTTCCAGAACTCAAAACTGGAAATTCTTGGTAAACAGACACTGGTCAAATTTAGGGGAAAAAGCAGGATGTTTTTCTACAAGACTTGCTAAAAAGTTCTTGAGGCTTTTGTGATAGGACAATCAGCACTATTGTCTGAGCTGAAACTTATCCATTGACAAGCAGGGAGGACTGCCCTGAAGGCCTGCTCCAGGGTATGCATTTATTCTTCTCAAATCTACAGGCAAAAAGTTGATGGCTGAGCAGCTGTTTAGTCTTAGAATGCTTTCATGCCATTTTTTTTTCCCTCCCCTTATGGTAATAACTAAAGCTTTCAAAACTTTCTCAAAGGCAGTAAACCCCCAGTATTACCTTTGCTTGATAATGATATGTTTGGAACTTGATTTAGACTCCCCCACTCTTTATCTAACCCCCCAAAGATTTGATGCTTCCAGGAGCAAGCTTGCAGTCATTGTTATAAATCCACAAACTTTGACATGGAAGCTACACTATCTCCAAAAAGGAGGTCAATTAGAAGAGGACATTGTAAGTAAACCTACTCAGGAAGAAAGGTTTTATTTAAACTTTTTTTTTTTTTTTACAAATTGTGACAACAATTATTTTGTGGAAAGACATGCAGGGGAGCATGTTACTCTAAGCCTTATTTTCTAGTAGTTAATAGGGGTCATTGAAGGGGTAATGGGGGTGTCCAGCATCTCTTGCTACTAGTTTTCCATCCACCTGTGAAGTAAACAGACAGACTTGAGTCAAGAAGATAAAAAAATCCATTCTTACAGTTTCAAATCCTGCATGATTTAGATTTCTAAATATTGATACCCCAAACATCTGTGAGGATGTCTTTCAGCTTAAACAAGAGCTGTTCCCTCTACTCACAAGTTCTCTTAGCACTTCTTGAAAGAAAAATTCTAAAATTAATTTAAAAAAAGAGACAGATTTCTGTAGCCTAGAGCAAGGGTCTTTCAAGCTGCTGAGGCTTGAAAAATTAGATTAAGAATAGTTAAAAGCCTTTTGCCTTGTAGCTGTTAAGTGTTTTAACATGCACACTTCAACACGCTTTACTGGAGTCGGAGCTTTTGCCCATGTTTCCATGATAGAGAGTTGCTGGCTGCCAATTTTGCAGATGGGTAAGATGAAACACACTGAATAACTTGTTCAGGGTCATATAATGAAGCATTAGTAGTGTCACTGAACTCCTTCAGAGCACTTTTTGTTTCAGAACATTTCCACAGAAGACCAGCTTCTTCAGCTATAACATGGGAATACTGAAACCCATATTCACAAAATACGAAACAGAAGCTCAGGCTGGCCCAAAAGCAGACGTGGCCATGCAGAAGTCCCAATTCCTACACTGCATCTCTAAGCATTCAGATGCACAAGTTGCACTTCTGGTTGCACCAAATCTATTCTAGTGCCCCTGACTTCCAAGGAACCAAGGTAAAACCTTGTTCCTCATCTGTAACATCTGGGGAAATTTAGGTGCAACACTAACAAAGAGATACACACCTCCCTGGGTGACAGAGCAGCATAATTCAGCTAAAACTCATACTAAGTGACTAATGACTGAATAAAAGTTATGTTAGAGCAATAATTGACTTATGCATATAAATGTGATTTTTATACATATAAATGTGGTGTTAGAGGTCACTCAAAATGTTACAGGGCAGAGGTAATCATAGGGACTTTAAAACCAAGTATCCACTAGCAAGTCCTTCCATTAGCTTTCAGTATAAAACCTGCATTTCAAAGCAACAACCGGAATCCCTAGTAATGAATTGTTTACAGTGACTACTGAAGTGTAAAACTAGTCACTTGGGGGCACTACAGAGCAGAAAAATAAGATGTTAAGGTTTGACTGATGATCGGATTGAAATAAAATAAAGCTGAAATGAAGCTGTCAGCTAAAGGCAAACTGTGAACAAAAGCATCACAGTATCTTTAGGTTTCCTCATATTCTCTTTGAGAGTCAACAACTTCGTGTTCCTAGAATTCATATTCTTCATTTCCCCCCCCCCAAGTTTGTTCCCCCTGCATATTTCACTACACAGCTATTCAGGTAAGCATTCTTCTTTGCAGCGTGCCAAGACAGCAACTGCCAGAAGCAATGTTTCACATAGCTCATTCCAGCCTGCCCCAGAAATTTGAGAGAAGGAGGGGGAGTAAAATCAGCAGTGAACAGACTGCAGGTCAACAGTAGCTAACAATCAAAAATGGACAAATCATCATATGTACAACACCATCACTCCTCCTCTTCTGGCCTGCTACTCATTCAAGTTTCACTTAAGTATATTTCTTGGCCAATGATATGTTTCTAAAAGTTTAGATTTCAAGCTGGTGCAAGGTGATTTCCAACCTCTATCCAGATAACGAACCGTTAAAGTATAAAGCAACTTAAATTGTCTACATGCAATGTAAGAGCCTCTCCTCATGCTTTAAACAAAACACAATGTGGAGGAGTGGCACAACTATAAGAACTTGTAGTTACATATCAATGAAGTAAATCAAGGAAAAACTGTCTCATCAGTTATGATAGGAGCTCTGATATCACTGTCATATCACACTTTGAAACCCAGACACTCTAAGTTAGATTCACAGAGGAGACAGGCATGAAAGGTTAGAGAGGAATTTCAATTCACAGTTGATGAGAATTCTTTCCAGTAAGCCCAGAAGGAATGGGCAGGAGACAAAAGGTTCCACTAGAGATCTCAGCTAGAGTCATGTTTTAATGCTCTCATCTTGCTTCTTCCTGTCTTGTTACCTGACAACACAGCAATATCTTTGAAGCCCAGCTGCATCACATTCACTCTTTTTCTATTTGGATGGGCTAGCACTTTGAACTCTATTTCATCTCAACTTTGTGAATCACTGTGATCTGATCAGGTCTCCCAGGTAACAAAAGCACACGAATTATCCCCGGCTCATCCAAGCCAGGCTATATTCTACTGTATTTTGCAGTTTCATTAACAAAACAACATTGTTTGCAGCATGAGTAGCAAAACACTTGAAACACCTGTCAGCACCAGGTGTGCCTGTCACTACCACACACACAGAGATCACCAGCTAAGCCTGCAGTTTGGTGTACAGACTCCTGATCCATAAACAAAGATAATTTTGGTTGCAGGTATGGGGGTATATATTTACACACACACACACTGAAGCAACTATACAGTTAAAAGCATGGCCTTGAAGCTCTTGTAAAGCCCCAGCATGACAACAGTGAAAGCTGTAACAAATACCTACCCTTGATACAAGATAGTCATTCACCACACATTCCCTACTTCTGTAACTCAACTGATACGCTCTCAAGCAATCAAAAAAACCTCAATGATAAAGCCTGGAGAAAACCTTTCCCCAAGTAATTCCTATAGCCAGTAGCCACTGACTACTGAAGAGTAATTTATAGGCAAACTGCTGGAGAGGCAAAGGTAGGCTTGACAGCTTCCAAGTTTGCAGAGACCTACTGTATCTATGCAGTGTACTGTATGAAACAGAAGGGATAAACCACTTCAGACTCATTGCAGCATAGTTGCCATATGTTAGTTGGTGACACACCACAGAATGGCAACAGCTCTCTCCTGTATAGTCAGAAGCAGGACAGTAAGAAATGAGGAATACTATAAAGCCAGGAGACAACAAGGCATTGATTTTTTTTTTTTTTTTTTTTTTTTTCCTTTAATATAAGCAAAGAAAGGCCAAGAGGACTTCAGCATTTTGAAGGGACTCATTTCTCTAAGAACAGACTGGCAAATGATAGCACATGAGGTAAGGTTTCATGTGACAGAGTAAACTACTGATACTAAAAGATGCTGTGGATAATGGATTTGGGAAGAAAAATACAACAGCCTAAGCCAAACTCCTTACACTGGAGGAAGGTCATTACAACAGGTGCTCAAAGGGGGACACACCATCCAGTGGAGGGGAGTAGATAAATTCCCTCATGTGACTTCCATGAAGGATGTGGAGAACTAACACCACCATGAGTCTTCACTGTTCTTAGAGGTTTATGGCATAAAGTAGACAGGGACAGATGGAACAAGGAGTACTTCTGGAGGAACGGCATGGACCTTAGCCTGCTTGTACATAAGAACAAATCAGCAGGAGTTTGCTGAGATTTGAAGTAAGATGGGATTTTGGCTTCAAGGCCTACAGACAGCAATGAGAACTCTAAGAGTGCCATCACTGGCCAAAACAGAGGAGAGAAGTTTTCAAAAAGCTACCTATTTTGTACCCAGCTTTCAAAAAATTCATCTTAGATACCCTAAAAAGATGTAGTGTTCTTACAAGTAAGTACTTCTGATGGGGACAGTAAAAGAAAGAAAACTGCAAAATGCCCAAGGTGTGGCAACAGGCACATAATGAAAACTAATAGAAACAGGAGAAATTTACCGTAACCATTGGCACAATGTAGCGCCAGTTTTTATTCAGGCTTCCAATGTGGCTCATCTCCTCTTCTGTGAGGCTGAAATCAAACACCTGAGAACAAAAGCAAGAGGCTTTATTCAAGAATCACAGGTTTTCCATATTTAATTGATATTGAGTTGTGCCTTTTGGTTTTGTTTCCTTTCTAAGTCACAACCATCCCCTTGTGCTGTGAATTTCTCCAGAGATCTATAAGCAATAGACCTGTCTTAAAAGGCAAAAAGGTTCCACTTCTCAATAATCCAGGACAGAATGGAACAGAAGCAGTGATCTGAAACACTGCTGATTATTTCAGTGTTTAATTTCAGATGACAGTGTAATAACACAGTTGTAACCACAGTAAACACACACAAGACTGGAATAATTTATTAAGCTGTAGTTACATATTCCTTTTGACATTTCAAAATGAAAACCTATGTGCTATATTAGAGTTGCAAGGTCCTAATATTAAAACCCAAGTAAATTAAATGTAATGCAACCTGTAATATTTCAAAACACCTTCAGAAGCTGCAACTTTGCTAAGTCTGAGCCTCAAACAGAGGGATTTATATGCAACTCTGATCAACGGAATTTATGTATCTGTAAAAATCTTGGCTGCAGACAGCATTACCTTGTCTTCTGTTTATAAATATGAAGTTGCAATTAAGCTCATTGTATAACAAACACCTAAGCAAAGGCTTAAAGCCTGAGGTGTTCATACACTTGCCAACTCTAAGCTTACACTAATACTGCATAGAACTCATCCACAAAGATAAAAAGCAATGTGACTGTTCCTCCAAGTACCTGCTTCCTATTCAGTGAAACACTGTTCCTACGTAGATCTAAACCTCAAGTAACTGCAGTTTACCAAGTTTCTTGACATTTCTAGCAGCATACTACATGGCAGAACTCAGTTTCACAGAAGTAAGTTACAGAAACAAGTCTTAGCTTAAAACACATAACCAGCCCATCTGTATGACTAAGGGTTGAAAAAAAAGATCACCAGGGTGATTCAGACACTTCCCTCCAAATTACTGGAAGTCAGAGTTTTCAAACAATTTCTAAAGTGAGCTGTCTCTACTTCAGAGCAGAAATGAATCACACTAATCCTATTCCTTCAGCATCATTACAAGACAGTTTTCTGCAAAAATAGTCACCAGCCCTCACTTGCAGGGTAGAACAACTGCTATGCATAAATAAGAACCACTGAACATCATTAGGGGACTCCCTTGTTCAAGAAATTTGTATTTCAGATAAATTTCAGTAAATATATTTAACTTTTACAAAGTACATTCTTTACTCTTTGATAACAAGACTGTGCACATGCACACTCACACTCTTAGTTGCTTAAAACATATCATTTGTTTCCTAAAAATCTTTACCCTCCCTTCTAAGCATGTGCATACATTGATGAATAAGTACAAACCAAGTGCCTCAGCTTGTTGTTCTGCAAGTAGTAGGACAGTGTATTACTCACAGGAAAGGCCACTGCTGAAACTCCCTTCCTCCATTTACACTCACCTGGAGATTCTGCTGAATGCGAGCGGGAGTGACACTCTTGGGAATGACAACCACTTTGCGCTGCACTTGCCATCTGTTAAGAGGAGGAGGAGGAGAGAGATTTTCTGTATGTGCAGCCCAAGAACCGCAATATTTATTTTGGTTGAATAATATTCTGTGGCATCAGAGATGCTACTTACACTTCTATGTGAAATAAAAATACTCAGAAGAGGGCTGACTGTATTGTGTTAGAACCCAGCATGTCTAAGCTCAAGCAAAACAGTAGCCGCTGGACTAATCAATGAGAGGAAGATGTTCATGCCTTTGAACAAGCAAGCAAGTTTCAGGTGCTTTAAGTTAGAAACCCAAAAAACAGTCACGGAAAAAAAATGTACTTGAGCATTTTATGCAAGTTCTAACATGACAACCACCAAGAAAGTAGAAGAAAACCCAAATCCCTCAGGTGCCTGTCTAGTGGTTTGAGTATGAAGTCTTGAACATATTCAGCTGGCAGGGTAATTTGCTGCTGCCCAAGACTGTACTAGTGATAACTGATAGATACAGAGCCAGACAAAAAAACAACTGAGGACAGAAATCCAGTTTTACTTTACAAGGTGCTGATCATATTCCGGATATCACTCAATCATCTTGTTTCCCCGTATCCAGCAGCTGGCTTTTGCTATTTAAAAACAAAACAGCAAACGGTTCTTCAGTGTGAAGAAGGAAGGTCCCTTCCTCAGCCCCTCTTCCTGGGAGCCCACCTGAATGAGTAGCAAGAGGTCAAGGGTTCAAGCAACTGACCCTGTGCAAATTCAGTAGGCAGCACTCAAACGTGGTGCACTGCTGCCTTAATTGTCCTACTGCTGTTCCCTGGAGGAAAAGGTAGTGAAGTGTCCCAGGCATGGATACAGGCCCTGAATAGACCACTCAGATCTAGTCCATCCACCTGCCCTAAGGCAGGATCAACTCTACCAACTCTGTAAGACAAGCAACAAATGGGCTTTGCTTTTGGCACTCTGATTTTAACACTCCCCACTGATGGGGAGATACACATCTACTTTAAGTAGATTACTTCTAGATTGCATGTTTTGCTTTAAGGCCAGGTCCCAAATGCCACCCTCTCTCACAATTGTTTTGTACCTGAGAATGATCTGTGCAGGTGACTTGCTGTATTTTTCTGCCAGTTTTTTGATCCCAGGTTCTTCTAGAAGCACAGGCTCATCCGGGTGTTTCCAGGTGCGATCTGGAGAACCAAGGGGACTGTAGGCAGTGACAACCAGTCCTTGTTTCTGGCAGTGAGCTATCAGCTCGTTCTGAGCTAGGTAAGGATGGCATTCTACCTATGAAAATGACCCACAGTGAGTGGCTAAAGAACAGATACCAACACAAAACGCTAAACACACAGGAAGTCAAAAGCACAGTAGAATCAAACACATCACAGGTCATTACAGATTCTGGAAAACCTTATGAGGTTAAGGTTTAAGTTAAAGAGAATGAAAAAATGTCTGGTAGGCTAAGCTAAGTTTACAGGAAAAGGAGAACAGATTGCCCAAGTGTCAAGTGCTGGGTTTTCTCCATGTACCAAACAAATCATCCAACAAGCAAGGAAGCTCTCTATAGAAGGGATTCAAATCACTCTCTCACAGTCTTTCTTTCTTATAGACTATAATGATCCTCACAGGGAAGACGAACTCTTCCACAGAGATGTTTAATTAAGCAGGCATAAGAGGCCACAGAAGACTGATAGAGGCCTCCTCCCCAACACATTACTTTGCCTGGAAAGACTGCCTTTTCATGCCTACTCCAGCAGAGCCAGCTGTATTCTTCCCCGTACAACAGAAGCTGCACCTCTTGTGCTAAACACTTAGCATTCATTTGTAAATTCTTCACTCCTATGGACACTTAGTAAAGGTATTCATCCTCTTCTTTATTCATCTTACCTGGAGCACAGCTGGTTTGACAGTAGCCACACTAAGCACATCATCGATCTGACGCCTGTTGAAATTTGACAGCCCAATGGCTTTTACAAGACCTTTTTCTACTAGCTTCTCCATAGCCTTCCAGGTATCCTTGTAATCAGTGTAATCATAACGCATCGTGTTATCCGGATTCTTTGGGAAGAGATTGTCCCCTCGCCTAGAGCAAACAAAGTATGAGTACATATACCACATTATTCATATTATGTGAGTTTTCGATAAAAGAAACTTTCCTCAAAGTATTTTCAAACGCTTATATGTAGTTTGGAGGGCAGAGTACAAACTGAGCAAATTTGTCTGTTGAATTCCATTATGCTGACTTAACCATAAGAAATTATTTCACATACAGTCTTTCCTAAATAAACTCATTATACAGTACTTTAAACTACTCACCTATATGGTAGTGACTACACAGAACCAATAAGCCACCGTATACACAGCAGCAGCTCTTTGCACACTTTGATCCCAGCAAAACTGCTGATTCAGAGCAGCAACTCAGAAGGCAACTTCAGTTTTTCAATTTGTATTTGAGGGGGGACTAAAACTCTTCATGGTCTGTTTGGAGCTGCTACCAAAGGGATCTTGGTTTAAGAGCTATCTAGGAGAGACTGCATTCAAAGTCTGCTGGTTTTCCCACTCCCTCTGGATTCCGTAGCAGTGTCAGCACTCAATACAAGTGCAGATTCTCACAGAGGTCTTGTACATGTTTGTCCTGGTTAAACCTGACAGTGTTGACTGTAGGTCAGGTGTGTTTCCAGTTAGTAATACCAACACATTTAAAAAGTAAAATTAAAAACAAAATCAATGAAATACACACAGAGAACCTGGTTATGCCAGGTGACGCCACCATAGCCAAAGGGCTATGACTACTCTCTGAGCTGTACGTGCTTGAAGGGGTGTCAGCAATCCCTCTGGAAGAGTGCTGCTTCAAAACCACTGCAGGACTCCACTCGCTCAGATCTCGGAGACTGCAGCTCTAGCTAAGCAGTAAATGGTGCAAGAAATGGCAGTAGCTGGGGACAAGGGGAGATGGTTCGTATTCAAGTCCTTGATGGATCTGGAACCAAAAACAAGTCTGAAAACCTTATGAGCTCCCAACTCAACAAAGCAGCCTCATATGTCAAGAGCAAATATATTAAGTGAGAGGTTAATTTTCAAGACCTAAAGACACATGTCCACTTTAATTTCTAAGTAACACTCTTCTGCTTAGCTTCCCAATACAGGAGGTATTATAGTTAACCATGCATTAAAAGTTGAAGTAGAGCTAACACAAAACTGTAGAGTGAACAGTTCCCCAGGAGAAAATATAAAACTGCTTTACTGGAACATCAGTTTTGTCAAGTTTCCACATCAAGCCCATTTAAATATTAGTAATATCTAAATATACATCATTATTTGTGGTATGTGTTAACATCAAAGCAATGTTTAATGGGTTTTTTCTCAATCAACTGGAAAACAAACCTGTTTCACAACAGGGGGAATTTTTAACAGTTCTTTCTCTAAACCAGCTCTAGTTGAAAACACTTCCTCATTCTGTTATGCTGAGGAATGTATTTATACTTTAAGTGTCTTTCCTCTTACCATTAGTGTTGTATGTACATAAAACTCAGTTTGTATGACTAGAAGGGGGAAAAAATGTTCTTAAATTTGCAAAACAGAAATAAACCCCTTAAGCTGAGAGGGTTTCCCCTGTTGAGTGAAGTCTCCATGCAAACACCTATTCAGATTTATTCCCCCCACTGCTTTTTTACTAAATGTAGGGGCAAAGGAGTGGAACTGCTTCCACATCTACAAGAAAATGAAGTAAGGAATTCTGCTTCTGATGGGGTTGTAGGGTAAGTGCATTTAGCATTTAACTGGAGAACTTCCTCATCTCATATTTACTCAGGTCATAGAATTAAAGTGTCAGAAGAAGTGAATTTTACTTTCTTCCTCATACAGACACCACCATGATACTGCATGTGCTTGGCCACTCCAGTAGAGTTAATAACTATTAGTGAAAAGTGCTGTTATCTTTACAAAGCACTTAATTCCCATCTTACAGATAATTAAAACTAAGGCACAAAGCAGTGACAGGATTTCTTCATGGTTACCATGAAAGTCAACAGCAGACCTGAGAACAGCTGTCACACTTCCCCAATGCCTAGACAAAGACACTAGACTGTTTTAAACTTCTAATATATTTTAAACTCGACACAGATTTTACCTCACAGCAAGCCAAATAATCAGCTAGTGTAAGATGGCATGCTTCAGTATAGAAACCCATCCCGTAAAGCTTTACTACTTTTTCCCAGTTAAACTACTTTCAGTTACCTAACTCTGCTACCCATGCCAAACTGTCAGAAGTTTAGTGATCCTAATTTCATTACCTAGTTGTTCCTACTATTGCAAAATTTAAGTAATTGCGTAAAGATTTTAAATGAAGACTTAACACACATTTCCAGCCTCATCATTCCTAAATAATGAGAACATTTGTCCCTTTTCCATTTACAATACTGCTACACAAAACCAGAAATCTTGTCTCCTCTACAGTATGTTTACAGACATACTACAAATCTAACAGTAAACAAATTCTCACCCAACTGAAATTCAAGAAGAATGAAATTTGAACAATTGTTTCTGTGAATGGACCAAATACAAGTAAGTGTACAGGTTATGGGTAGAAAAGAGTGTCTATACGACAGTTTATAGCTCTATACTATTATCCACACTGGAAAAACATCTTCCAGGCAGTATACACAGGAAGAAGTTCACAGCCCAGAAAGAAGCTCCTCAGGACATAACACCAGCCACTTATGTAAAATTGGGGTTTCTGCTTTCTGTGCCCTTTCCAGGTAAAACTTACTCAAAGGCATGAGGCCAGTGCATGAGGTACAGGTCCAGGTAATCCAGTTTCAAATCTCCAAGTGTCTTCCTTAGCGCTGGCTCTACATCTTCTGGGTGGTGCTTGGTATTCCAGAGCTTTGATGTTACAAACAGGTCCTCCCTTTTAATAACCTTTAAGAAAGGGAGGAGAGTGTAATTTACTGGAAGAAGTTCAGAAAGGGAATTGTAACAGTTCCCCAACTAGCTTTGAAACTAATAGAACAATTAAAAGTTCTTAAAAAAAAAAAAAAAAAAAAAAATGGTAACACATGGAACCCGCAAGTTAAACCTTTCAAAAATATACTGGATGGAGAAGAGCAAGAGAAATAAACACATTGGCAAGTCCTAAAGCATACCAAATACTTAGCAATTTCTTAAAAGTTTTCAAAAACAAAACAATCCCCCCCACACACCCCCACACTCTTCAAACTTTTCAATTCAAGTGTTAAACCCACTACCAAGGGTGATGTGACCTAAAGAAAGATTACCCAGTTTATTCATATGTAAATTTTGTGATTTCTATTTAACAATTCACATAATCTAGGCACAACCCAGTAATTTATACTCATCACACCTTATAAACAAAGAACGCTTCTCATGGAAAGAGTGTGGGAAAATAAACAAAGTTTTCCCAAACCTCCACACTTGAGCTTCTAGGTTCTGTGAGGGACATGCTAAGAACTGAGCACCCTGTATCCTGTATTGGAATGGTAAGACGCAGAAATGAAACAAATGGAAAGCTGGTTAACTAAAAAGTATAAAACACAAGAGGGAGATCATGTTTGGCAGGCTGAAGCACAGAACACCATCAGACGGGACTTCATACTGACTTATGTAAGAGCAAGTTTCACTCACATCTATACTTTGTAGAAGCTGGAATGATTAATTAGTTTCTCTCCTCCAACCATTCAGTTATTTGTGTGCTTCACATATGACTGTTGTATTCAAAGAGAAAGACTTTTTAAAAAATTCTATTTTTGAGTTAGCTAGCTAATGGGAACTGAAAAATAGAGTCCTATGCTTCCCTATTATTAATTAGCATATCTAGTAGGAAGGAATCCTTGGGGCAAACTGAAAACAGTTCTCTCAAGCTAATCACATAACAAAGAGACTGCCCTAAAGCCAAGGCAAGAGCAGCAGAAAAGCAGGAACATAAGGATTTCAGGAGCTCCAAGGCTGTACAGGCAATCCTTTTGGCCCCTCAGGCCAACAAGGGCAAGGGAATGAATTTAATATTCCACCTCAGGTCATTCACAGCAATGCCTGTCAAATTACTTGATATCTAGGCTATGGGCTCTCACTGCAGGCCCTAGAGTCCCAGTTACCAAACCTACACAGGTTTGGGTTTTTTGGGGAAAAAAAAGGTACTTATTTACTCACTCATATTTGATCTATAACCAAAAAACCTACAGTCACCGAATGCTACCCACCACTGCATGCTACTCTAAACCAGCAAAGTAGAGTAACTTCATAAAAATCACAGCAAATATTTTCCATTTTAACAAGAGATTCTGGGAATATCCAATTTTTTGAGCAACCAAACTGGGATAGTTTGCAGGGGGGAGCAGAACAGGGAAACGTAAAAAAAACCATTTTCTGTAGTTTCCATGCAATATTCCTGATAATCTTTTCTCGACCAGACAGCCAGGACTGTAGAGGAGGGAAAGCTCTCTTCCATGCCTGCTCCTGATTAATAATGAACAGCTGGGATAGACCAGAAGGAAAAGCCACAGATGTTAACTTTACAGTCTGCTTTCAGGTCACAGTTGTAGGTTTTGATACAACATACAGTCAGCATGGTAATTCTTGTGTTTTTACCTTGTTGGACCCAAGGCATTCCTGGAAAGCCTCACCGATCTCCGTTTCATTGCTGTAAGCTGCTGCGCAATCGATGTGGTGATACCCCACACGTAGGGCATATTTCACTGCTGCTTTCACCTGTAACCAGAAACAGATTATCCAAAGGAATTGGTGAAAAGGGACACATGGCTGGAAGAAACAAAAAGTTAAGGACCTTAGTGAGGAACACCCCCAAAACACAGGTCTACATAAGGTCATGAGATTCAAACAGAGTAGGTCCTCTGTGGCACAGCCTTTAGGAGGAAAGATAATTACTAGCAGATGCTCCAAGAGTAACAAGAAAACAGACCATGCACACAGGCCAAGCATGCAGAAACTCATCAAGATAGAATAGGGATTAATTCTTAACTAGAGTTGTCCCACTTCAATATAAAACGAGCTTTAAGAAGCAGTTTTCAAATAAATCATGGCTTAGGAAGACAAACTTTCTGGAACCAGCAGACCAATCAATCAGTGTCAGTCAAGCCTGGAAGATACCTTCTCTCTCCCGGTAAAGGAAAAAACCTGGTTTCTAATTCCAGAATTGCCAGAGTTTGGATTTGGTTCAGCTGCTAACACTTAATTTCTAAGATATTGGTATTCTATGGCATATTTTCCCTTTGTGTCTTATTCTCACCGATTGTACAAAAATCAAAGTCACTATACTGCTGAATATGAACCCATGGCCTGTTAGGGATCTCCTGATGGTGCTTGCAACTTTGCATTTTGCCTTCCACATGACTGACAACGAAGGTGTTGCCAACAGCAACATGTCAGCAACGTTGCAAGAACAAAGAATTACTAGATTTCAGTGTCATCATCATCTCCTGTCAGGTTGACAAGCATCAAGTAAAATCTATTTCATTTAACTTCCGGTGGGCAATAAGCACATGTTCTCTTTTACATCTATCTATCTGAAGTGCTACAGTAAGAGTATATCATATCTGTTCAGGGATTTCTATACATTGCTCTTCACTGACTTGTCTCTGGAGACTGTGGGAGATTGTAAATTACTCTGTGTATCAGGCTTGATGCAATAGGGCCCTAATGTATTTATAGAGATGATGTCCTCTTTTGTCAAGAGATTAGAAAAAAATGTCCACAAATACTACAGAGAGATTGATTTCTTTCAACTTAATCAAACTACCAGCATTTTCTATTTTAAAGCTGACAAAATTACTAATACCAGTTAAAGACGTATACAGCCCTGCTTGTAGATGCTACAGAAAGAGAAGGGGGAATCAAATGTGAAAAAGATCTTTCTTCTACTGGTGGATTTAATTTGGTTTTCTCAAGAACCACAGTAAAGGCAGACACGGGAAATTCTGACTGTGTTCTTTGGCATTTTAAAAGGAAAACTGGAATGTAGACCAGTTTCCCTTAGCTAGAATGACAAAGCACTTCTATTACAGCAGTGAAGTAAGCTCTTTCTTTCTCTAGCAGGATGGTATTTACAGTCCTTGTTTCACTTTGATAAAGACAGTCCTCACAAGGACACCACAAAGTCAATGTCATGGCAATTCTGAAAACACTTGAGACATATTAAAGGCTTTTAAGACTCAATATCCATCCTCCAAAAAGGTAAGAGTTATGGAGCTGAGGCAGAAAGGAAAGGAAAAACAGCAGTATTCTTTGTTAAGAATTAATCCCACATTTCCTCCATCAGGACAGTAATTTTTTTAAAATCCAAACATGCACAAAATTTGCCATAAAATCAAAGTAGGCACCTCTCAGAAAAATAAGGATAAGGCACTCCAAACATGTCTTTTCAAAGCAATAAACAGGAGGCCATATTTCTGTATCAGCATGTTTTGATAAATTTCTAGCACTGAAAAACTGGGACTAGTCATTTAAGTTTTGGATTTGGTCGAAATCCATATTTGTGTAAACTACTCTCAGTCTACTAAGGCATTCCAATGTGAACAGAGTTCCTGTTCCACACGAAAGGCAATCAATCAAGAGAAAATGTGCAAAAAAAGCATGGAAGGGGGAAACTAAAAACAGATAGATGTAAATTTCAGATGAATACTTCCTTTTTAACAGCAAGTTTTGTATTTCTGAGATTATGTTTAGACAGGAACATGCATTTCCTGAGGGGCAGAAAAAAAAACAAAAAACAAAAACAAAAAAACAGAAGCAGTTGGGAGATTCACATGCCTCTGGGTATTTGGTGTTGTAAAGTAACAACAGCCACAGGATCCTTCAAACTGTCTGTATATTCTTTAGTTTAGCTTGTCAATACCACTATGGAAGGAGCAATTACTAAATTACTACAGGCTTGGGGAGGAGTGGCTGGAGAGCTGCCAGTCAGAGAGGGACCTGGAGGTGTTGATTGACAGCCGGCTGGACAGGAGCCAGCAGTGTGCCCAGGGGGCCAAGAAGGCCAATGGCATCCTGGCTTGTGTCAGCACTAGCGTGGCCAGCAGGGCACAGGGAAGGGATCTGACCCCTGTACTTGGCACTGGTGAGGCTGCACCTCGATTCCTGGGTTCAGTTTTGGGCCCCTCACTACAAAAAGGACATTGAGTGACTCGAGCGTGTCCAGAGAAGGGCAACAGAGCTGGTGCAGGGTCTGGAGCACAGGTCGTACAAGGAGCGGCTGAGGGAACTGGGGGGGTTTAGTCTGGAGAAGAGGAAGCTGAGGGGAGACCTCATCGCCCTCTACAGCTCCCTGAAAGGAGGGTGCAGAGAGCTGGGGATGAGTCTCTTTAACCAAGGAACAAGTGACAGGACAAGAGGGAATGGCCTCAAGCTGCGCCAGGGGAGGTTTAGACTGGATATCGGGCAGCATTTCTTTCCAGAACAGGTTGTTGGGCATTGGAACGGGCTGCCCAGGGAGGTGGTGGAGTTCCCATTCTGGAGGGGTTTAAGAGTCTGGCTGACATAGCTCTCAGGGATATGGTGTAGTTAAGAACAGTCAGTATTAGGATAATGGTTGGACTGGATGATCTTCAAGGTCTTTTCTAACCTAGATGATTCTGTGATTCCGTAAATTAATTTTACATTAGGCAAGTTGAGTCACACAGCTTAAGTGTGACTCACCAACCTAGCATCATATAACCACAGAAAGTAGGTGGGAAAGGATCTTGAGACATCATCTAGTCTATCCTCATGCCCCACAGCATGACCAACTAAGTCTAAATCATTCCTATACACATTTGTCAAAACCCTTCTTCTAAGTGACAGGCAGTCTATTCCAATGCTTCGCTATCTTTATGTTCAAAGCCTTTTAAACATCTAACCAAGATGGCCCTGATGCCACATCCTATTCCTCACAGACATGAAATGCATAGCTTCACCTTGGTGAGGGCTTCTTGTGCATTTGGAAAGTGCCAGCATGTCTTCTTTCAAACCTCTCTCAACCACATAACTGTAGGTGCTTCCATCTTTCATCACAACTCACCTTTCCCAAACCTTGGGATGGTCACTGTTGATGCTGTCCTGTCAGCTGGTTCATGCTTTCTACAAGTGGTTTGCCCCAAAACAGATACAATATTGAAGCTGAAGCCTTATTCTCCACCACTGTATAGCAAAGCCCTTGGAACTACAGTCCCATTTATATATCCAGCAAGGGACATGGCCTTCCCACCCACCCTCTTTTGTTTTTGAAGATGGAGGAACATAACATTGCTAACTATCAGGGGCAGACTGAGAAACAGAATCTGCAAGTCCCAATACATTATAATATCCATTACTAGATTTTCAGTTCAATTTGCCCATCACAAGGTGAAAAACTAACAAGCCATCTTTATACTTCCAAGCAACACAGAGTTCAAATGACTAGGGAGCCTCTTCTGCACAGCCCCAAGCCATTACGAAGAAGCTTTCACTCAATAATACTTGGAAAGAAAAGGCTCTGACAGCCTCCCTCGCTTCCTGCAAAGTTGTCACATTTCAGCAGTCCAAGTACATCTGCTGACGAGGAATAGGAAAAAAACAGATCATCTGTCCACACAATATTCAGATGCAATATGACCAGAAGTATTGCTGTATCACAGTTTGTACATACTGTACTAAAATTTGCTGAAAAGGAACTCAGACCACCACATAAGTAATGTCCACTTATGAGAGCTGATCTCCCTAAAAATCAAGGGTTTTGCCTCCTACCCTTCACACGTTGAGTTCTGAAGTGTATATATTCCCTTAATATATACCAGCAGCAGTGAATTTTTATGCACGTAACCAGGACACTCTATATTATTTAACAAACTTTCAAGAACTAAAGTCTCCATAGCTGCAATCCTGTCACAAGACACCCAGTCCGACGGGTTTTCTGAGGTACGCATTTCCCCTTCAGCTTTCTTAAGTTTCACACAGAAATACAACTTCCCTAAACCCTGTGTCTCTCTTCCCCACAGACCCAGCCTCTGCCACAGCTTATTAGACTGTTCATCAGTTGGGGATCAATCCTCCAAGTTGAAAGCCTGGCCCAGCTGAGAGACGAGAACAAAGCATTAAAGGATTACAGATAATCAAGCTCCAATATTAAAAACCAGATGCTAATGATATTTTTGATGCTCCTGTCTGAATGGACTTCTCTTTGAACTCATCCATGCTGCTGGTTCAGAAGCTTCTGTACTGTGTTCCCTTCCATTCAATAGTCTGCCATCTTGTTCCTATGGTAACATAATAAAACAAATATCTCTTCTTGCATTTGATCATGTAAGACAGAAAGCGTCGTATTATTTTATAGGACCTAAATCCTATAAAATACTATAGTCTTCCAACATGGGCTTAGATTCAGTAATTCTCCCCATTCTTACCATCTAGGAGACTAGAGCTGCAACGATGCCTTTGCAGTGGACTGCTAAGATCTGGCTACAAGGTCAAGGCTTGTTTAGGATCAGGAACGGTAACAGTGATACTAAAGAAATTACTCAAGAGAGTAAGGTCAAAACTGAAAAGCAGCTTGGCAAGGAAAATAATTACAATCTGCACAATATTTACCTGAAATAATTTAAAAGCCATTCACTTCCACTCTTGCTTCTAATGCAACCCTTGCAGAGAAGTGCTTTTGATAAATAGCCTCTACTCAGTAAACATCTAGATTAAATGTAATCGATGACAATTCTTCTGCTTCTTTATGTTTTTACCCCTTAGTCTTTAACTCATAATTATTCTCCCTGAACTGCATCATGTCCTTTTAAGGGTAAATCTTTAGACACTGCCAAATTGCTGCTATGCTTCTTTGAACTTTGAAGAGTGATAAACAGGAATTTATTTATTCCATAGGAATAGCAGCATATTCTGTAACGCTGGCCATTTTCACTGCATTTTCTAGATTTTGCCTTCAGTACATTCTAAGAATAAGTCTTTGAAGATAGTAGATATTTTTAAAAAGTGACTCCCAATGACTTCCATGGGACCCCAGAGAAGATAGCTGCATCCCATATAGGGTTCAGCTGTTAGAAGTGCTGCTTACTGTGGCAAAAATCCATCTGAATTAGGTTTAAATTATGCACAAACAGGATCTTTCCCAGTTCTTTTATAAGGCTGCACTTTTCTCAGAACCATAAGTGCACAAAATAAACAATGCATTCATATTATGTTTGTTCAGTTTCAGGCATTTGTTTTAGACAATGCGTATTTAACTGCTTTGAGTGCACAGAAATTAATCCATTAAGTTCCTGCATGTTAATAAACTTAATTCAACTGTCAGTTGATGTTTTAAGTGATAGAGCTGAACATTCATCCTTGTCATCATTTAAGAGATTGACTGAGCTCTCACACCAACTCAGCTTCCACATTAGCACAGCTTCTATTCCCAACAGATCAACTGTCCTGACAGTTGTTTGGACAGGAAGTCCAACAATAAAACGGCTCTGAATAGATTTAATTTTTATAGCTTTTTTTCCCCACCATTTCCTAAAGCTGGCATGAGAGAATAGCACAATGGGTCATCCTGAGAAGGGTTTTAACTTTCGCTCTCAGCCACAAGTAAAATGTCATCCAGTGTACTCAAAAAACCATCACGAAGCTAACACAAGAGTAGCATCATTTACTGCACAGACATACAATGGTACATAAAATCCAAAAGGCATTAAAACAATACCAAGAATTTCACCAAGCAAGAGGACACGCCTGCTGGACATTGCACATACTTGCCGTGAAGAGCAATCTCTGCCCTCCCAGAAACGTATCTTTTTAGCTAAATGAAACAGAAAGGAAAAGCCAGACAAGGGGAAGTATTACAATAGCAGGCACAGCCCATAGCATGCAAACATTCCCACAGACAGTTTGTAGTAACACAGAATTGTTTCCAAGAGTGGTGTTTGCCAATTCATTGCATTTAGAAGCAGGGTGAATGTCTAACGACACGTTAGTCGTCTTAGCCTAAAATCAGGATGACCTAAGCAAGCTCTTTGTTTTTCTGCTAAACATGGGCTGACCGCTGGAACAGGACTTAGGACAAGAACAACTTGAGTTCTTGCCTCCCAAAATAATGCTTTCATTAGTCATCAGCCCAAGCCAGAGGGATGTCTGGTCAAACTGGCAGTCTGAGGATTGACCAATGGAAGAGTCAGGCACCATACCACAGCTACAGCATTTTCTCTGTCTCACCCCACTCATTGGTCTCTTTCTGGATTCACCTCCCAGAGCCCCACTGCCTGAGGCCTGGGTTGACAAGTCTTAAGGAATTTTCTGCTGCTGCTTTTGTGCCTTAAGGCCTTAGTCATGCAAATACATACACACATTCCACTAACTTCAGTCGACCCAAGACTAAAACCATTCAAGCAAGGGATCCAGGCCTCAGATCTGGGATCTTCAAAAAAGGTGCTCAAAACACAAATACTAGTTGAGAGTACAATATTATATTGTTCTCTACTTACTTGGCCACGATCACTTTTCCAAGTTCCCAGTCCTACAAGAGGCATCTTCTGCCCAGTGTGGAGCGCAACGAAGCCACATACTGCAGACATGTTTGCCTAAAGAAGAACAAACCGAGTTTTGCAGTAATTCATTAAGTTGCAACAATTTACCTTTTCCATGCAAAAAATAAATAAAATCATAGAGGTCCTCACGATGCTAGAATAAAGATGAAGCAAGTTCTTCACAGTTTTACCTGCTATAAGGGAGATTAATAGCTACCCTGGAGAGACTAGAAAATGACCCCTTTTTCTTATTATTCTCTTTTTGCTTTACAATGCACAAGTTTAAGATTTCTCAGAGTTGAGAAGTACAAAAGGAAGCATTCTGTAATAGCATACAATTAACAGAGAAGCTCAGGAGAAAACATGCTTTTTTTTAAAAAAAAAAAAAATCAGCAGCAAGCATTGAGGAGGCAGAAGGGAGCAAGGGATGTTTGTCTGTCCTTAGTAATTCTGTAGGACTTCTGCACAAAGTCTTTCTTTTCTACCAATTCACTACCAGCTCGCTCAGGAACCAAGCTCTAATTACCACTGCAGTTGGGGATAAACACATTTTGTCAGAACAAACATTTTGTCAGGATAAAAACATTTTGTCAGCCGGTGCAGGTTAAGGTTTGAAGACCTGATACAGAGTTTTGATTAGAAGTGAATGGTAAAGGCATTTATGAAGGCATAGCCCCAAAAAACAAAGTTTAAAAAATGCTCCAAAGAGGATCACTGCTAGAGAATCAGTCTCATCTTTTTGTGACAGATATGTGCTTTGTCACCCTTGAATCCAAATTTTCACCAACTTCAAGATGAACTACAGCTCATTATGAAGGCCATCTGGCATTGTGAAGAAAACCAGAAATATCTGCAACAAGCATAATTTTTTATGAACTGTTATATCCTGCAACAGACAAATGCTACCAAATGAGAAGACTACTTTTTTTTTAATCACTAAAAAACCCCTCTCTCATGTGAAGTCAGGACTAGCAAACAGGACAAAATGGAGGCACTTCCAAAGGTGGACACTAGGAAATAACACCTCAGCGCCCAGAACACATAAAACCGCTGCATATATAAATTTTTATTTTTCTTTAATCATTCTGACATAGAACTAGAAATAGCTGTGTGCAAAGTGAGCTAAAATGCAGTAGGTCCTTACATATTTATGCGTTTTGAATCTTAAAATAACTTTCTTCCTGCTCATTCAGAAAGGGACACTATCTTTTTAAAGAGCTGAAAGATTCCTTGCTCCCATACTGCCAAAATCTGCATGTAGGCTCTGATGGAAGTTTGAGATGAAGAGCACAACTCTTCCATAAGATGCATTTCAAGTACAAACAGAATGCAATATTCAGCACTGCTATTATAGAAAGTATCACACACCTGATCTAGCACAAGTTCACAGAGGAGTAGCTTTCTTCTGTTACTAAAGGGAGAATGAAAAAAAGATTATGCAAAGTCAGTTGGCACTTTGAGCCTGGGCTTCTGTCTCATGATTAGCACTGCAATATCCAAGTATTTTCCTTGTGAAATTCAACAGAACAAAGGTCCAGCAGGATCCTCCATTACCTGTTGCTGGCTTTATAGCTGCTGCAAACAGCAATCTGCTCAAAGCAGTAAAGCTTTTTATCAAAAAGGAAGGTTTTACAGTGTGTCCCAACATCCTCATTCTACATTTCTTGTCAAACTGTTAAAAAGAAACCACATTCAGGATGAGCTCCAAAGCTGGCTAGCTGATTTCAGCAGAAGCTGAGGAAGTTACTTCCCAAGCTCAGCTGTGTCCAAACTTACTAATGTTATTTGTTTTTAACAAAACCAAGAGTGGAAGCATGCAATGTTGTTTGAATGGCTGACTATGTAGGAGGAATGGATGTTTTCAAAGCAGAGCATTCACACAGCATACCATCATAAAATAGCTTTGCCTACTCCACGTTGTTATAATTTTCCTCAGATAATTAAGTCAGAGATGATGGATGTGTTCACACAGAAAGTTTCTATTTCCAGTTTCTTGCTTAGCTTTTCAAGCTGTATTTTTGTAGATTTACAGCAGAACCAAAGAGCACACTTTTTTTGAGAGACATAACAGTGTAGTTGAAGCAGCCCTGACCTGAAGGCCATTGCACACCAAGGAGCTGGTCATCCATGTAGCAGACAACCCGAGTAGGTCCAGGCTTGTCTTGTGCTGCGCTTCAGGTACAGCACGGCCCTCAGGCCTGTGCTGTGCAACACACAACCCATGGCTGCAGGATAAGATCAGCAGCTAATTGTTACCAAGGTGTCTGCAGGCAGCTCCCACTTGGTACCTGCGATTATGCCACCTACGTGTCCTTGCCTTTACCTAAAAAAGCAGGAAGTTCTCACGCAAGCATCCTTTAAAAGTATAAATGATGAACAGAGTTGTTTTCTTGTAAGAAAATCACTAATAGCTCGAGTGACTGAAACAGGGTAACCCTTTCGATGGGGAGGGTCTGCCCAACATGCTGCACGTGAATCGGAGGCCTGTTCAGTGCTGCGCAACTCGGGGTTCCCCGCACCTGAAGGGATGTGAGATTACCAACACCACCATCTTTCTTTACAGGGTTAGCTCTGACAAGTCCCATTTGAGGTGATACTTCAGAGTCCGAGTCCCCTTCTTATCAGGACTGCAACAGACCAGCACCTCCTGGTTCAAAACAGCCGTTAAAGACAGACTAACGGCTCTGAACTTGCACCGAGAATGTATTAAGTCCAGACGTTAGTGCTTAGGCAACCATCAGTGAACCAAACTGTGGATATACATCTATTTTTTGGGGTAGGGAGTCAGAGGAGAAAGAATGGCAAAGAGTATTCTCTTCTATTCTGAACCTGCATAGCAATTTCATAGTCAGCGACATGCAAGTAGGTGATTTTTATGTGAATTGAGTTGCCTAAGTCAAGGTATCTTCTTACACCACACAACTGAAGACTTAGAGCTTTTTGATTCACACTGTCCTGTAACACAAATATGCCAATCATATGCTTTACACAAGCATGTTACACAATCATCTCAGATGCAGCACTTCAGCCCAGAAGACAAGGTACACATTTAATCAAAAACTAGCATCAGCACATTTTCTATAAACCATCTCACTTCATGTAACACTGTTGTACATTAACATCGCAAAGAGAGCAGAACTACAGCCTCTGGAAGAATGGAAACATGCCAGAATTAGAAACACTGGAAGAAAACACACTAATTAATACTTTCCACTCGGATTCCCCCCCCTAATAAGGGGATGCAAGAGAACCTGAGTGTTTGCTAGCCATCATTATTTAGTTCATTAAAAACCTGGAAGCCTCTTTTTAGAAGGGCAAAGACAAAAATAAACATAGACGCTAGTTCTGGGCAAGTAAGATGTGGTTTTGGCTTAACAATACTCACCTCTCCGACTGCTACATTTGCAAAAAAGAGTAACGCTCAGAGCAATGCAAAGGCACCGCGAGCAGCCGGGGAGGTGTAAACTACAGCTACGTATGAGCCCACAGCTGGGACTCATTTTTAATGCAAAGCAAGAAGCCTCCCACCAGTCAAACGCGCATAAAACCGCACTAAATTACTGCGTATGGATACCAACAGGTCTATATGGGAAACACGGAAGCCGCTACCGCGGAATCGCTGTTGCCCCACAAACGGGCCAAACCCTCCGGAGGCGCCAAGCCCGCCCACCTCCCCCTTATCGGCGCGGCCAGTCCCGCGCAGCCCGCGGCCGCACTCACCCGCACTCACCCGCTCGCCG